TGGGTAAGCTAAACTGTCAGTAGAAAATCTGATAAACCAAAAAAAAAATTTGCAGTATGACAAATCTTGTTTTTACTGTATGCACAAGAACTATAAACAACTCATATGAACACAAGGTTAAATATGCATTAAAAGATATTGAACTGAGAATGTAATGCATGCCTGTTTAAATTTGCTATGGTTGAAGAACTCTGTGATTGAACTTTTTGTTTTGCTCTTTGCATGTCTTATGTGTTGCATCAGGCTCTGATCCTGAGGAATTTGCTAGAAGCGCACTGTACTTGCTGTTCATTTTTTGTACAAGCATGTCTGTGTGCGAGAGTTAACAGTTAATAGACCAGAAACAGATGGATGGCACTAAAACAGAGGCTTGCAGAAGGTTTGAAAGCATTTTGTAAATCAGGGAAATTAAACTAGGAATTAAAACCTGTGAACATTTTTTTTTATTATTTAAAATGTTAAACCCTCTTAACAGTCAGCCCATTTTTAAATTCAGAGGGGGGTTAACTGACTTTAGTTAAGGGCTCCAACAGTTATCCAACTATTATTCCCCTCTGATTTTGAAAATAATATACAGTTATGGTTGGGTTTAGGGGAAGGGAATAGGTATGGATTTCATTTTTAAACAAAAATGATGCTCCAGGATCAACATAGAGGTTAATCCAGAATCGCATCGTACTTCGCAAAATCATGATGTGGGATAAACATACAAAGCCATTCTGAAATTCAGGATTGTGTCCCATTTAATTTTTTACTCCATTTTTAAGTCAAAATTAATTTGTTACTAAAGTCTCAATGTTTTGTAGGCCTACACTGTAAAACCCAAAAAGTTAAGACAATTCAAACCGTTTGAGGAAACCGATTGCAACAAACCATTTGAGCTCAAAAACTAATCCTGATGAGTGCTGTGAACTTAATCCATTTGAGTAAATGAAGCAGTTTAAGCACAGAAAAACCCAATAAATGAAGAGAACTTAAACCAACTGAGTACTTTAAAACCCAATAGGTTAAGTCAACTCAAACCGTTTGAGGAAACCGATTTCTACAAACCATTTGAGTTCAAAAGCTACTCTACAGTATATGAGTGCTGTGAACTTACTCCGTTTAAGTTAAAGTAATGATGTATTTAATCAACTCATTCCCTTCAACACCAAGTTCAAATCTCTTTTTAATTGAGTAGAATTAACTTTCAGTCAGTGTTGAGTTAACTACTTAACCAATTTTGAGTTGACTGTTGGGTTTTACAGTGCATATTAAATTAAATAAAGTTTTAGAAGTCTCCCGGATTTCATTTGACAAACACTTACAAACACAAAGTACACCCTTCAGGTGCAAAACTGAAATTTACAGAAGGTGCTGGGTAAAAAAAAAACTCAATGATCTTTGGTTTATAAAGCCTTCTGTAATAATGTGTCAATATAACGAGCTCATTAACATTTATAAAGCATCATCTGCTTTCTGCTTGCATGCAATGTTAAGCTGCTTTATGCAAATCGTGTTCCACCTTTGTTCAGTGAGAATGCGGACGTATTAATGTGTGCTCTTCAAAGTCACGTTGCACAACTTTATTGCTTGTAATGAAAAACTTGTTTGACTGACACGGATCCAAAAACAACAAAGCCCATCAATTAAATGAAAATGAAAATAACTTTTGCAAATGTCCTTGCAGGTTTTTGTCAGCGCATGCAACACCGCTGACAAGCATGACCTAAGGTTTTGTGTTGCAAATTCCGTTTTATAATTTACATATTTCCAAAGCATCAAGGATTGAACATGCCTCAATAGAGAAATCAATCATTATCCAGCTTATGCTGCAATTTAAATAAAGTCCGTAAATGACAGCATGAGGGTGAGCAAATAAAGGTTTTTCTGAGCATTCTGTGAAATACCACAATCTGCACTTCACTTTTTAACAAAAAAAGATATTCATTCATTGTAAGACTAGCTGGAAAAAAAAATGCACCTTTGCCCTAGACATAAACCTGCAAAACTTTCACATATGTGATAGATTAAAGTAGATTGACAGATTCTCCATGCATGTTAACTTATGTTGACATGACTGATAGGTTTCACACATGCATACCTCATTATGAAAAGCTACCTAAAGTGCACAGCAAAAAGGTGTTCAAATCCACACTACAACCTCATGCATTCGTCACATCAGTGGGAATGATCTAATCTTGCATAATGGGCACTGTTCATGCCAAGACAGGAGCTAACAAAACTCAGCGAGTCAGCAAACACGTGAACTTAAATAAGACTCATCAGAAAAGGTCAAATTTTAGGTCATCTTATTCTTTTCTTTAAGTGTTCTGAATTTACTGATATGGAGCCTGTGAAATTTGCTAGAAGCAAAACTGCTGTTTAAATGTTGATTGTTTGATTTAAGGCTACATATTTGCAGTGTTAACATTTTGTGCAAACATTAAGATCATTTCATAAATCAGAAACAAAAATAATACTATTATAAACAATTACAGTTGAAGTCAGAATTATTAGCTCCCCTGAATTATTAGCGCCTCTGTTTATTTTTTTCAACAATTTCTGTTTAATGGAGGGAAGATTGTTTCAGCACATTTCTGAGCATAATAGTTTTAAAAACCTATTTCTAATAACGGATTTATTTTATCTTTGTCATGATGACAGTCAATAATATTTTACTTGATATTTTTCAAGACACTTCTATACAGCTTAAAGTGACATTTAAAGGCTTAACTAGGTTAATTAGGTTAACTAGGCAGGTTAGGGTAATTAGGCAAGTTATTGTATAACGATGGCTGTTCTGTAGATTATCGAGAAAAAAAATTGCTTAAAGGGGATAATAATTTTGTCCCAAAAATGTTTTTTAAAAAATTAATAACTGCTTTTATTCTAGCCGAAATAAAACAAATAAGACTTTCTCCAGAAGAAAAAATATTATCAGACATACTGTGAAAATTTCCTTGCTCTGTTAAAAATAATTTGGGAAATATTAAAAAAAAAAAAAAAATCAAAAGGGGGCTAATAATTCTGACTTCAACTGTATATTATATTTACATAGTATACTCTGGAGTGAGCTACAGCAAGATCAAAGCCAGCTGGTGTATATAAATACAAATTAAACCAATGAGGGAGCATGATCATTTCACACACTGAGGAAACAATTGACAGTACATGATATCATGTCATATACAGTACTATGCAAAAGCCTTAGGCCACTAGTGTTTTCAACAACAACAAAAAAGGTTTAAAGTCAGTTATTTCTATGTTTTTTTGTAGCATGTCAGAATGAAATGCTTTAAAGATGCTTCGAAAAACTTACCTGCAAGGCTAACTGATAAACTATGGGTTTTAAATGCAAAGTGTGGGTGTACCAAATGCTGATTTGATTTAGTTAATACGAGTTAATTAATAAATAAAATGTATTCATGTAACTTACAATTGAGGAGGCCTGCAGCCAGCAAGTCGACAAGAAGAGATAATTACACTCTTATGCTCAGAGAATTAAGAGCAAGAGTGTTTCTACGGGTGGTTTGTCAAGCCCATTCACCAGTGCTAAGCACACTTTATAAATGCATTACCTTTTTTTAGAGATATAAGAGAGTAATTGTAAGAAAATGTCTTATTTCCTTATGGATTATAAGTCATTTTAATTGTTAAATTACAACTAAATATCCAAATATAAGAAATATGTGATAACTAAAATGATGTTATTAGTTGTTTATCTTCATTAAAAGTAACAAACTTTACATTGTTGCAATGAAAAAAAAACTTATTTTAATTTTAACTCTTTATTTTTAAAAAATCCTTAAAAAACATATTTTAAAAGACACTTTAAGCATCACAACATTTTTTATAATAAGGAAATATCCGCATATTTCTGAAGAATTGCGTGACACTGTAGACTGGAGTAATGATGGCTGAAAATTAATTATACATTTCTGTTTTTAAGTGTATTTTGGTCAAATAAATGTAGACTTGGTGAGCAAAAGAGATCTCTAAAAAACAATTAATAAATCTATCTAGCCCCAAACTTTCGCATTGTACTGTACGTTATCAAGTAAAAAAGTGAAGTAAAATATTTAAGATGTTTAAAAAGTCTAAATACAAAAACAAATGTGTGACATCAGCGATAAACAAGCCATTCTGAAATTCAGGACGGTTTCCCATTTAATTTTTTACTCCATGTTTTAATACTCAAATTAATTTGTCAATGTAGTCTCATTATTTTTGAAAGCATGGTCATTTTACAGCATTTAGTCACACTTTTCCCCTTTATTTTGTTTGTTAAATTTAAGTTACATTGCATCTACATGCCAACTAATTCTCATTAGATTATAAGTAGACTGTTAGGTTGGGGTTAGTGTAGGTTGACGTTCTTCCAAAATTATAGTCAGTTAAAAGTCTGTTGAAGAAGCGGTATCAACAGATATTAAGCAGACTGTCTACTAATACTCAAACGGATCATCAAAATGAAGTGCTACCCAACAATTTTACACAAGTGCCTAAAACTTTGAACAGTACTGTAGCTTTGCAGGTATTTTTAGAATTTGCAGGTCTTCGAGATGTTTCCAAAGGGATTGTCTTCTGAATTGAGTTTGTCTCTGTTCTGTTTCCTCATGTCATTTGATGATGATCAGATCAGATCTTTGTGTGGAGCACTGACTAGGCATGGGCCCCTATAAGATTCTGACGGTATTATAACCTCGGATAAAAATATCATGTTTCCACGGTATTGTGATTACTGCTTTAAAATATATTCTTTTTAAATGTCTGGGGGAAAAAAACTTTTTTTCCCTTTGAAAACAATAAATTCTATTTAAAAAAAAAAAAGATTTATGATATTTTGGAGCAGTAAACGCGTCAGGCCATATAATTCAAATGACTCATAGGCTTCTGCTATCTTCATTAGTTTCAAAAACACTGATTTCTTTACAATTTAAAACAGCATATTTGGATACTTTTTCTGCTGGAGATACTGTTTTAAAAACTAAAAACAGTAAAAAAAATCTTACACATACCTTAGTTAGGAACGATATTACAAACAGTTTTGGCAGTTTTAGACCCTTGACTTTTCCAAACGGTTATCGTCCCATGCCAGGCACTGTTGTCAGACCAATATTCTCACTATTAATGATAAAAATAATGTTTGGAAATGTAAATTGATATTTCAAACTGGCATACTACAAAAATATATAGAAATAACCAACTCTTCCAAATCTTATTAAAATAATTAAAGAACTAGTTAATATACCAAAGACTTTTGCACAATATTGTATACAAGTTATTGTATATTTAACAACTATTATCACATTTACACCACATAAAGTCAGTAGTAGGTCCACTGTTTTAAAATCACAGGCACATAACAAATAAAGCCCTATATAGAGACCAAACTCAAAGGTAAACACGTGCTATTATGAACATAATTACATTGGAACTGTATGGTTTTGCCCTCTAACAGACAGCACTTATCGGTCTGCACGCGAAGACTGCACAGACTGTTCTGTGTTGAATTAAATCCTTAAAGAACTTTTTTCCAGAACAAATATAATACAAACAACACTACTAAGTTTAGGATATACCTAAATACATATTTCACCCGCGTTTACTGTACTCCGGAAAGCAAAATGTCGGAAATTTCCAGTTAAATGACAAAGTTATGCGCATAGTCTAATATGTAATACAACCTATATAACTGCTGTTGAACAGTATCTACTCAGTAATATGAAAAAAAGCCTTACCTTGCTGAGGGCGCATGCAGACTGCTCTGCTCTTTCTGGATGTACTGTTCCGTTCTGTTGTCTCATCTAATGAGCAGAGGAAGGCTGTTTTAAATGTTTTGAGACTCGTCTCCACCAGGGTCCAGCCCTGATCCTCCCTCAGCAGACGCTCTACAGCAGCACCCCCTACCGCCCGCACTAACACTAACCGTGAGTTTATTACAGTAAAAGTGTAGCAACAGTGTTCTTTTGGCAAACTGACTACTATTTGTGTAACCACAGCATTACTACAAATAACATAACCACTGTAAAACCGTAATTAACACACTTGAAAATAATTAAAATTTAAACACTTACACTATTCATCATTAAAGCTTTCCATCTTTAACTAATTTGAGAAAACACCTATTTAACTTTTAACTACACTCACGTGGGCAGTCATGATACATTAGACTTACATGACGTTTCTCTTGTTTTGTCCAGGCATTCAAGTGGGTGTGAAGACTGCAAACTTGCGTGAATTAATTTAAACAGATTTTAAGTTTTAATAGTTTTACACAGCTTTATTCCCACATTTTGTAAATTTGATAATCTGCACATTAAAATAAATTTCAACATTAATGTTCTTTAGTCCTTAACTGTTATTAATTTGTTGTGTTTCTAACTGCAGTGCAGTTGCAACCATTTTACAGACTACACACAGACTGATTTCAATAATAATACAATTTGATAAACATTACACTATAGGCAAATTATGTGTAAGATAAGGAGTCAGGTGACAGGTTTACTAATAGCTTAGTCAGACAGGCAATGGTCAAACAGGAGCAAACAGACACATGAGGGTAATGGCGAAAGGTCAGAGCAGGAGACAAACAGCATAAACAATAACAAAAACAAGAAAAACCATCAAAAACCACAAAAGAACAAGGCAAGGAAAACACGTAAAAATGTTTCAGGAAAACAAGACTGTGTGTTTGAGAGTTGAATGTATAGACCAGATAATCAGTCCATGATGAGTTACCAGCTGTGTGTGTTTGTGTAATCGGGGTGATCCAGAACTGGTGTGTATGTGAGGTGCCTGATGGGAGTTGGAGTTCATATAGTGGCAGAATTATAGTGCAGGTGATAATGCATGTTTTGCAGCGATCTGCAAAGCCTAGAGCGGTGGTGATCGTGACCATACACACAAAACAAGCCTTTCACATGGAAGCACATTTTAGACCTTCCATATTTATTTGTTTAATGATTATTAATAGATTGCATTGAAAGGGATAGTTCACCTAAAACTGAAAATTCTGTCATTGTTTACTTAAACTTGACTTGTCAAAAACCTTTTTGAGGTTCGCTTTTCGTTTTTTCGGAATAAGTTGTGTTGAAAAACTGTAACTGTTGACATCTATAGAAGGAAAAACAAATACTTAAGTGAGTGGCTACATGTTTCTTACATTTTTCAAAATATCTTCTTCATCTGTGTTCAAAAGAAAAACAAACCAGCAAACCAGGAACCAGGAAAGAGGAAGATGAACTTCTCTTTTTTGGGGTGAACTGTCCCTTTAATAGATTGTACATTCATGAAATATTTGTAATTGTTAGGCAAAATACGTTTTTATCCATGATTTACAAAGCCATTAGTTCAATTAATTTATAGCTTCCTCCCCAAAAAAATGTTTTTTTCTCGCTTTGTGCCCAATTTTAATTATATGCTAAATGTTAACAATCTTAAGCAGTAAAAGGTAAGATTTAAATTCTTTTTAAAAGTGTTTTTTATCATTATTTTAAACAGAAAGTGAAATTGCAAAAAAAAAAAAAAAGCAGTAAAGGATTGCCAATGTAGTGCATTTTAACAGAAACAGAGAAAACAAAATATTACTGTCCTGACTCCCGCATGAACACATCTAGAGCATGAAGTATTAAGATTCTTGTAGAGTGTGTGGGATTACTTTAATATGACATGACTCGAGTGGAGCGTCTTTGTTGTTCAAGCAGAGCCGAAACGCAACTTTAATACAATCTTTCTGTTTAATTGGCATTAGTGCAAACTGCAAACACAGCAGCACAACAACAGGACTTCATGGCTTCATCCTAAAATCAATCACGGCAGAAGATTTTCACGCAGCACTGATTTTAAAAGAACAGAGTGAGTTACATAAATAGTGAAGAGTGAAGAGTCTTTATCTTTAGACAGCAAGTATAAACAAACATTATTATGATTGAATGAGTGTGAGAGAGAAAGAGTTCTGCTCTAAATACAATGTGTGTAGATTTCTGCTGAATTGGTAGATTTAAAATATAATAAATATCCTTTCAGAACAAGATTTTGAATTCAGTGTTTGTTTAAAATCACATGCAATTACAAAAGGAGGGTACATTTAAACATAAAATAATCCAGCAGATTATTGATTTTTCTTTTATTAAAATATTCACAATTATTTTAGCTGAAATTGTGGAAATTTTTAAATTATTCCCGTGGCTCCTGACAACACACTGAGGTCTTACAAAACATAAATAATCAGCATGTGCAGGTAAATTAACATTATTTTTAACATTATTAACTTTTATCACATTTTAAAATACATTTACTTTTAATTTCAACATTTGATTCACCTTAACAACTTCTAATGCATTCCCAAATTAAAAAAAAACAGATAAAACTAGCTATTTGTAAACGTGTAGTCATTCATTCATTCATTTTCTTGTTGGCTTAGTCCCTCTATTATTCTGGGGTCGAACGCAGGGAGAACATGCAAACTCCACACAGAAACGCCAACTGAGCCGAGGATCGAACCAGCAACCCATCGACCTTCTTGCTGTGAGGCGAACGTGCTACCCACTGCGTCACCCTAAACGTGTAGTCAAAAAAAAAAAAAAATAAAAATAAATAAAAAAAAATAAATAAATAAAAAAAAGATTCTACTTAGTTAAAATGAACTGAAGCAGCACTTTTTCTTGAGATTTTTGGTTGTTCAATCCATTTAAATTTGTAAAACACAATTCAGTCTTAACTTAATCAATTAAGGCTGGGACAACATGAAGGAATTTTTTTGGAACCCAGCATTTTTTACAGTGTGGATTAAAAGGATTCACATTTGCGGTGTAATTTGTTTGTTGAACATATGCATATTTCAATATTTTGCATTAATATTAAATGTCTTAACATTCTGGTTTAACTTGGAATTTTAGTTCGGGTGAACAACAAATCTAAAACACTACAACTGTTGTAATATAATATATAAATGCTTTGCAGGTGGTTACTTTTTTAAAAAGTTTTGGTTCAGTCATTGCAGAGCATTAAAAATCTGACAAGTTTTTTTTTATTTTTTATTTCTATTAACAACAGAATGTCTTTCATTAGGTTTCCAGTGGCCGTCTTTCATCTAATGAACAAAATTACACAATAGTCATAATTTACATATAGAGGCATCTTGTCTCAACAAGCTAAGAAAAATCAGTTTATACACTGTGAAAATATCCATGCATTTGTAGTTTCCTGTATTTTGTGATTCATGTTTTTATTTTCCCCCATTTATTTGTGTTTTTAAATTGCATTATGGGTTCTTGATCTTTCTTACAACAACTTTTAGCCTTAAAGTGTTCAAAAAAGTGACTTTTATTAAGATTTTTAATAGTTGAAAGTGAAACATTGTCTGGGTTGGTGTTGTATTACAGTACAAAAGCCTTCAGCTTAGTCTTACTATTCATTAGGGGTTGCCTGTGCATATGTTTTACACAGCAAATGCCCTTCCAGCTGCATCAAGTTCTGGGAAACATCCATACACACCCATTTACACACTTCATGTCTTTAGACTGTGGGGAAAATTGGAGGAACCCGGAGAAAACCCACGTGAACATGGGGAGAACATGCAAACTCCACACAGAAATGCCAACTGACCACTGAACCAGCCACCTTCTTGCTGTGAGGCAAGTATATTTTCTGTTATTTTACAGACATGTTTCTCTATATGTAATTTCTTGTACATTATATTATTTCAAACTACTATTAAACTATGTCAACAAAAGTGACTTTGTTAAACTGTAGTTGAATTTTCAGCATCAAAGCAGAGATTAAGCTCCCATAATACAATTCACAATCGCAAATAAACTGAACAATCACAAACTAAGAGAACTGTTCATTGACAAATATGTTTTACAGTGTACTTGTAATAAGAAGTCAGTTTCTACTAAAGTGTGAGTGAATTTAACCATTTCAATAGTGAAATAGTTAAAACTGTTTTATTGTTGTTTTAATAATAATGACCGTTTTTATATAAAAACAAAAAGAGACAATATATTATTTAGAAAACTAGTAACATCTGCACATCTGAGTTTACTCCAGGTTGTGTGTGGTTTTCAATATCTACCGATTTCTTCATCCAATCAGCAGTTAGCAGTTATGATTCATCAACATTACTAAAAAGGAATTCAAGTCAATGACGAGGAATTCTGTTTACTTCATCAGGTTCTTTGGAAGTGTCACATTACAAAAACATTACAAGAACAAATTACGCACATACAGTCGAGGACACATCATACCTCACCAGTTTAATTTAACTTTTTAATTCAAGCAAAAAAAATGTAAATGTTTTTTTAAGTACTATTAATAGAACTCCTATTAGGTTCTCCTATTAAAATGAGTAAAGCATCTAATTTCAAAAGGCCTTTAAAACTTGTAAGTCACATATTGTAGGCTCTTCATTTTATTTGTTTTATTTATTTTAAATGTTTCATTATTATGTTGGATTATGAGTTATAATTAAACAGTGGATTTAAAATTCTGTGGATAATGTAAAATGAAATATGGATTATACGCTGTTAACGATTTTTGTAAATGACAGTTTTTAACTGTAATATTAACAATATTTTACTGTAGGACATTATGCAGTATGTTACTGTATTTTAAAGTTGCATGGTGAAAATGGCGGTATATATTACAGTAAAGAGCCAGATAAATGGCACTGTAAATGGAAATGCAGTATTTTTGCTGTAATCTATTTACAGTAAGTTACTGGCAAACTGCTGCCAGTAACTTACAATATAGTAACAATATATAACAGTGTAGTTACAGAAGGAATGTTTTTATTTCAGATTTTCCTGAAAATG